ATGCTAATGGGTTCGATCTAGAGAAGGTGTCTCCTTCGATCTGGGATGTTATACCTGCAAAAGTATGCGAGCGAAATAAAATGCAGGGCCTGGGTATTGAATCCCAGGCCCTTCGATCCTGCGCTTGCTGGGTCTCTTCAGGCTATGGCTGCAGCAAATGTTAGCAAACGAAAAAAAAACATGACTTGGGTGCCAAACCCAGGCCTCTTGATCCTGTCTAGGATAGAAAATCGAAGGTAACAACCAGTATGTATGTATTATGCAAATATGAGGTTGGATAGTTTACCCTTTCTTACCAACAAATTCGAATTTTGATTTGGGCGCTCCCTGGATGTAGGAAACTTCGATCTGGGCACTTCCTGGATATAGGAACTTTTGATCTGAGGGCTTCTGGGCGTGGGAACCTTCGATCTGAAGGACTGCTTTGGCTTGGAAAATCTGACAACCTTTGATGGATTGTATGGGCAGCACCTTCTCCAATGTTTTTGTTTCTGTAGAGTTCTCTGTATATTTTCGTTCTATGATTTTCCGTCCCCTGTAATGTGTATGTTGGCCCTGTATTTATATGGGTGTGAAGGTGCAGTAATGGCAAGAGACAACCATTAAATAGGCCATTAAATGCCATGAGACAAGAAACAGACACATTAAATAATTTCCTTTTTTGAAACATTTGTGTCTCTTGAATGAACCTGGACGCTTTTGACTTGAGTACCCTCTTGATGACCTCCTTCGAATGGGCTGATGGCACCCTTCGAATGCTCCCTTTTGAATGGGCTGATGGCCTCCTTCGAATGCTTTTCGAAAGCTTCTTCGAATGGACCCTTTGAATGCCTATTCTAATGGAACTTTTGGAATTCTAATCGAAGGACACTGTTATAATGCCAATCGAAATACTTGTCCATAATGCCAATCGAAAGGCTTATCCAGAATGCCAATCGAAGTGCTCCTTCAGAATGCCAATCGAAATTCTCCTTCAGAATGCCAATCGAAATGCTCCTTCAGAATGCTAATCGAAGGGTCTTTCAGAATGCCAATCGAAATGTACTTAAAGCACCACTCAAAAATTTTCCTTTTCCTTAGGCAAGAGTTTGTGATCAACCATGCAGGGGGAAGATTTTGGAAAACATGAGAGGGAAAATTTTGGGGTACAACAACATCCTTTACAAGCGTAACTATGATTCAACCTTACTGCGATGTGTGGATAAGAGCGAGGCGGAAAGAATCATGGCGGAGTTACATGAAGGTACTTTCAGAACTCATTCCAGTGGACACACCATGGCGAAGAAAATCCTACGGGTAGGATATTATTGGTCTACTATGGAAGCCGGCTGTTATCAGCATTCTCGGACCTGTCACAAATGCCAAGTCTATGCTAATAAAGTGCACATACCTCCAGTTCCTCTGAACGTCTTGACATCTCCTTGGCCTTTCGCAATGTGGGGCATCAATATGATCGGCGAGATCAAACCTACTGCATCCAACGGGAATCGTTTCATCTTGGTAGCGATTGATTACTTTACAAAGTGGGCTGAGGAAGCTTCCTTCGCTACAGTAACCAAGAATGTCGTGGCACGGTTTATTCGGCACAATCTGATCTGTCGATACGGTGTACCGGAGAGGATCATTACAGACAATGGTATAAATCTCAACAATAAGATGATCACCGAGATCTGCAAACAGTTCAAGATACAGCATCACAACTCTTCTCCCTACCGGCCGAAGATGAATGAGGCTATTGAAGCGGCTAATAAGTATATCAAGAAGATTGTGCAGAAGATGACGGTGACATACAAAGATTGGCACGAGATGTTACTGTTTTCTCTTCATGGGTACCGTACCTCAGCGCGGACGTCAATAGGGGAAACACCCTATTCCTTGATATATGGCATGAAGGCCGTCTTGCCCATTGAAGTTCAGATACCCTCTCTTCGGATTATGAAGGACGCAGATTTGAGCGAGAACGACTGGATCCAGACCCGGCTTGGTCAGCTGAACTTAATCGACGAAAAGAGACTTACTGCTATTTGTCATGGTCAGACGTATCAAAAACGGATGATCAAGGCATTTAACAAGAAAGTTAGACGACAAGAGTATCAAGTTGGGGATCTGGTGATCAAGCGCATCATACTACCTCAAGGTGATCCCAGGGGTAAATGGACACCTACATACGAAGGGCCATTTATGGTTAAGAACATCTTCTCAGGAGGAGCTATGATTCTAACCACCATGGATGGTGACGACCTTCCTCACCCCGTCAATGCAGACATAGTGAAAAATATGATGCATAATGAAAGACCCTCTAGGTCGACTGGTCTAGGAAAAAATAAGGGCTTCCCGGCGAACCAAAAGGGTTCGGGCAAAAATAAGGGATGAAAATGAAAAATCTGTACACCCGGCAAGTCGAAAACCTGAAAAGGCGGCTTGGACAAAAAAGGGTATCCTGGTGGACTGAAAACCCGAAAGGGCGGTCCAGGCAAAAATTAGGGATCAAAGCGTAACACTATGTCTCATTGGATCACCTTGCGATCAGACTTCAGTATCGACTATCAGGATCGGACAACACTAGTCAATCTGACTTGCCTTCAACCAAGTAGCAAAATGATGAGATGCTCGAAGACATAAGGGCAATAGCAGAGTTGGAACCCAGTGGGATTGTTCACGTAGCTGTTTTCTTTATTTTTTTACAAACTGTATAAATTCTATTGTTTGACGGCGTTCTCTTACTAGGACGTCAGCCTCTTGTACAAAAACGCCTATTTACAGGCTAATTTCAAAATCAATACAATTCATTTTCACAAAGAAATTTCAAATTGTTTTCTTTTTCTGGTTTGTTTTGCAAGAACGTCCAATGTTCGTTTTTGATATATGCATTTGACATTAATTGCTGCTCATGAATATTTACATGCGAAACAAAAGACGATTACTCGTAATATCAGAAATAGGGGCAAATAAGAAATGTCCAAATCGTACTGTTGCTCTATCCACCAGGTATAGGGATAAACCTAACTGGAGAATACGACTCAAGGAACATTCACTCCCCACAGAGTAAGAGAAGGACAATGGTGTTAAATCTCCCCAACTGAGGCTCGCAACCGCGAATGAGTCGGCGATATTCTCCCCAAGCAGAGTTTATCTACCATCAGCACTGAAAAATTATCCCCAGTGGAGTTTGAAAAATTATCCCCAGTAGAGTCTGGATGACTGTCCCCAGTAAAGTCTAAAAGATTATTCCCAGTGAATTCGTAACTGGAAAATCATCCCTAGCGGAGTTCATTCCTTTTACAAACAGAAACTCAATCCCCAATAGAGTTTATTATCGCCAACAACGGTAATTCATCCCCGGCTGAGGTTATTCTTCCAAATCAATAGGTTCTCTAGCAGAGTTTGACTGCCCCACAGAGTCATGTCCTCATCAGTTTATTCCCCAGCGGAGTTATCCTCTCCCGCAGGTTTATTCTCACAATCATCTTCATTCACTATCCCCAGCAGAAACAAAGCATTCAACTCTTTTCTCCAACAGCAACCTAGGATTTATTTTCCCCAGCTAAAAACATCACATTTCCATACATCACGATATGCATACGCATCATACAACATGTAGCGATAAAAAATGTAGCGGGGTAAATCGGAGATCGAATTATTAATTAATTCGTCTCACAAAAGCAAGAGTCGCCACCGCGCTTTATTATTTCCAAGGGAAAAGGGGAAAGAGCGAAATAAAACCCTAAAGTATGCAATGTAAATAATACTTTTAAAAGTAATGAAAATACAAGGCGTTTTTGAAAAGAGGTCTATGGTTCGGGGGTTGGTTATACAATGGGAAGGTATTAGCACCCAATGTATCTATAGTATTCTATAGGAACCTTTTGAAATATCTGTTTATTAAAATGTTCGTTTGATTAAAAATAAATTGTTTTGGCCGAAGATGGGTATGGACGAGTTTTTGAAGATACGAAGACCTAATGTCGAAGTTTTGACTTAAAAGGTGTGAGTTTTTTTTGAAGAAATTAGATATTTGGGAAAATTATCCTATGTTTTTAATGAATGGGGGTATTCGCTCGATTGTGTAAGATATATTTGATGACATGAAGTCAACAAATTTAATTCTTTCCCTTGGAGTTGATCATAAGCAAGTAGGTCTAGTAATCGAGCAAGAATCATATATAAGTAATTAAAAATCCAAAAGAAACAAACAAGGAGTATAGTGACAAGATAAACTATAAGAAACTAAATAAACGTACAAAGAAGAATCATGAATAAAAGGAAAATGTAATTAGAGGGTTATCTAAACTAATTTTGAAATTCTAAGGTTACTAAGTAAACGAAACTTAAATTCTAAAGTTTATAACTAAACTAAACAAGATTTTAAAGTTAATAACTAAAACTAAATTAAAATTATAAAATTACTAACTTAAAATTCTAAAGTTAATAAATTAAATCTAAAATAAATTAGAATTCTAAAATTACTAAATTAGATCTAAACTAGATTAATCATATAATTATTAATTTAAATCTAAACTAAACTAATTTAAATCTAAATTAAGTTAATTATAGAAAGAAGTGTGAAACATAAAATTAGGGTGGGAGTAGCAATTTAGAATGGGTTTAAACAAGAATAAAATAGATTGGCCCACGATTACAAACAAGTTCAACTAAACTAAAAACTATGGGCCTGAGATGAGTAGTAAATGGAGGTGTGTATGTACTAATTCGTTGGGGCTGAATGATGAAGAGAAACAACATATTAGGCTTAAGTTGGAAAAAAGCTGGGCATGGTTGAGGAAATTGGATCGGATCATGGAAGGCCCAGAACCGAAAAAAAACAAAGCTGAACAAAACCCTAGAAATGCTAAGCTGGCCGCCGCTGCTTGTTGGAATTGTAAAGGGAACATCAGATTTATTATTGTTATTATTATATCATTTTCCATAAAATAGATTAAATAGAAAAATTGAAACAAATATTAAAGATTGTATCGGTCCTTTCTCTGTCATCAGTATCAATGCCGTCACCTTCCTCTTCTCTCTCAACCGCGTCTCTCTCTACTGCTGACCATGCTATCTCTGTTCATCCTATCTCTCTCAAATCAACAAACTCTCCTCCCTCTGCTTTTCTCAACCGCGCCACGCAACCTTCAATCAATGCCACAACCTCCACGAAAACCTTTCCTCAAACCCGATCCTCACACTTTCGCCATGGAAATCCTAACTTCTTCATCTCTTCCGCCATTTCAAAATCGTCCTCCATTCTTTCTGATCTGTGACCGGAGTATCGCCCCCCTTCTTGCGTTGTTGACGAGTTAGGGTTAGATTATGTTCAATAAGTGGGTAGCCGGGTAAGTCAATGGCAATCGCGGAAAAGAGGAGTGTGATGGGGTTTTTAGAGACGAAAGCGGATGCGGCGTGGTGATTTGAAGTTATTGTTGGTGCTGTGCAAACAGGGTGCTTGCAGAATCGGAATGGGTTTACTTCTAGTTGTTGTGAATAACTTGGCGATGGAAGGGAGTTAACAAGTTGATGTTGTGTGTGAGGAAGCCGTTGGTTTCTGTTGGGTTAGTGCAGTAGGCAGAGAGGGAGAGGTTGGAGGAAGGCGATTGGTTAATGGAATGGGTTACGGTGAAGGTGGACATTAGGTGAAGATGAAGATAAGGGTAGGGAATGGAGAGATGAAGGGAAGTGGTATGGTAATTGCTTTTTTAGCGAAGAAGATGGTGAAAGAAATTGAATATAGTATTACTGTTAGTGAGGAATTGAAAAAAATACTGCTATCTCTTTTTTTGTTTTGTGCAGTAGTGGAAGAGATAAGTTTACTACTAGTTGTTTTGGTTTTGTGGTGTGTTTGGCGGAAACAGGAAGGGAGTACTCGGGTCTGTCTGAAGGATCGGTGGGTTGAAGGAAGTAGAGGAAGATGAAGGGATTACAGGTGCTGAAAGTTATGATCCACAATAAAGAGGTAAGACAAACAACAACATACCCCTTATTAATTCAAGTTTCCGTAACTTTAGACTTATAAGTTTCCATGTTCAATTGTTCAGCTGAGCAGTGATATGAAGATAATGTAAGCACAACACCTCAGCTTTAAAGAGTACTAAATCAATATTAGTTTTACTTTGAGCTTTTCATCGGTGTATTAATCAGATTAAGAAAAATGAATTCTCTGAAGCAAATAACAGATAACAATGCATATCAGGTAAAATATGTCTTCGAACTTTTCATCTCACCATCAAAGCCTTATCCTACTTAAATGAAATCTACTTATGGACTGATACAAAATGCAGGTCAAGTTGAAGCTCAAAGATAAAATACTCAAAATGGTGGAGTTGTATTACCTGAAAGAAATACCAGTTGCTTCACTTGAGTAAGTTCCTTTCTTGTTCTTTTGGTTTTCTTGATTAAAAAATATCTCTTTGTTCCTCTCGAATTTTCTCTCTCAAAAAAAGGTCCAACCTCATTGTGATAAAGCTCTAAATTATATAGTCTCAAGATTAAAATTGGGAGGGAATTGAGTCCATTAAGAGCATTTCTGATCTATGCTTTTTGGATGTAAGAATGTCTAACCATTTTTGTGCAATCTGGCCTAGCTTGACAGGTTTTTGGCATCTTGCAGCAGGGTTGATTTGGACCTTAAAGATAGGGACAAGGCAAGATTTTAGAGCAGCAAATAGCAGTAGTTTGGACTTGTGTGGACAGCAATAACATAGCATAGTAGTTTTTTTTGGAGTGTAGCAACCTGTCTTCCGTATTTTGCCAATTGTAATTCCCGTTTTTTACTATTTTGGCCAGTTTTGGATGAAACTCTATTAGTGCTAAAACAGTCTTTCTTTTTCTTGGTATATTTTAGCTTAGCCATTTTTAGCATAATGTAACAGTAACATTTTGAAATGAAGGTTGTGTCTTCCGTGTGAACCTCTAGTAGTAGTTCAAAATTGCTATTTTTATTATGACAAAAAGATAAAAGGCCCAACAATAATAATAACAATAAAGTAACAAAAAGAAAAAATTGTTAGTAAGACAATAATGACAAAAATCGATTATTAATGCAAAATGCAAAAATGATTGAAGCAAAAAGCAACTGAAAAAAGTCAATTAATAATTAGAAATGAAAACTCAATTTCAAATCTAATTATTAATTAAAAAAATGCAATATGTAAAATGGTATGAACTATATTTTTGATATTTTTTGAATTAAGAATTGCGAATTTAAAATACTATAATGCTAATTATAAATAACTTTTGTGATTTTTCTAATAATGCAATAGTAGAAAGTGACATGAACTAAAATACACATTTTTTAGATTTTTTACAAATAAGACAAAAATGATAAATACAAGACGGAAAAAATATGCGCTATGTACGATTTGGTAAAGGTTGGACAAGACATGATCAAATTTCATTAAATTCATAAAGCGACTTCTAACGTTTTCATTTTTCGTGGCATTTCAAAAAATAATCAGCTCTTGACTTCTAAAGAAAAGTTGTAGTTGTTGTCAAGGAGAATCATGTGTAAAAGAACCACTAAAAAAAATGTCGAAATTCGAAGAAGTTATGAATTTCGAAATCTGACCCGAGAAAATGGCAAAAATGGGTCGAATCGCTTGTGAACGCTTGCTATGTAATGACACAGATGGGAGGTGGGATCTTAGGTCACAAATTGGGGTATGACACAACACAATCTCATTTATTTTGAGAACATCATTTCCTGATACATATCATGCATTACATACAGCTAACCTTTAACTTTCAGGAAAGATACAATCAAATTCTCATAAAATTCAAGCTGTGAAGCCCGGGTACGATTGGATAATAGTTTAATCCCCAGTTGAATAACAAACGACCGAAGCTCCTAAAATTCAACTTTCCTCTTCAAAAGAGATGATCCCCAGTTGAATAACGGACGACCGAAGCTCCTAAAATTCAACTTTCCTCTTCAACAGAGATGATTCCTTAGTCGAATACGGACGACCGAAGTTCCTAAAATTCAACACAGATGATTCCTCAGTCGAATACGAACGATCGAAGTTCCTAAAATTCAACAGAGATGGTTCCTCAGTAGAATACGGACAATTGAAGTTCCTAAAATTCAACAGAGATGATTCCTCAGTAGAATACGGACGATCGAAGTTCCTAAAATTCAACAGAGATGATTCCTCAGTCGAATACAGACGACCGAAGTTCCTAAAATTCAACAGAGATGATTCCTCAGTCGAATACGGACGACCGAAGTTCCTAAAATTCAACAGAGATGATTCCTCAGTTGAATACGGACGACCGAAGTTCCTAAAATTCAACAGAGATGTTTCCTCAGTAGAATACGGACGACTGAAGTTCCTAAAATTCAACAGAGATGTTTTCTCAGTAGAATACGGATGGCCGAAGTTCCTAAAATTCAACAGAGATGATTCCTCAGTAGAATACAGACGACCGAAGTTCCTAAAATTCAAACAGAGACGACTCACTAGCAGAATAACGGACGACCGAGGCTTCTAAAATTCTACTTCTATTCCCCAGCGGAATCTTCCTCAATGACAGGTATACCAGCTCTCGCTAAGGAATCTCTTATGCGATAGACACTCCTTCAGATGGCATCTTTAAGCCCATCCCCCGTTAGAAATTTCCAAATGGCATCTGTAAGCGTATTCCAGATATCGCAAGACGGACACCACTTCATGCGAATGCAAATTTCTGGGCACTTTAGTGTTCGATCATCTTCCACATTTGGATCAGGAAAGGCACGAAAGCCAATCTACATGCTCAGGTTTAAGAAGATTGAACAGGGGCAGCTGTTGTACCCCAAAATTTTCCCTCCCATATTTCTCAACACATTTCAAGAAAGATACTCAAGTTGCTCAAGGAAGTCCAAGGGTTGGCCAAACAAGCTCTCTCCTAAGGCAGTCTACCTCAAATTAGGTTTTCATGTTGCATCAAGATACTTGAGTTCAAGGGATCCCAAATGCTCAACACTGTCCTAATATGTTCTCAATATCATCCATGTCAAGTTTCAAGCCTTGCAGAGGAAGTTTGCTCAATCAATTGCTCAAAGGCCCAAAAATCGAATGTGCTAAGGCAAAAGTCAACTGTGACCAGTCAAACTTTAAGATTTTTGGTCAACATTCTCATTTTGAAGGATATTTCATCATTTTATCAAGGGTTGATCATGATTCATCAAGGATTGCTCTCAATTCATCAAGACTCAAAAGTTGCTAAATTAGGGTTTTGTAGGAAAAGTCAACTCAACTTTGACAAGGCATAACTTTCTCATACTTTATGATAAATGACCAATCAAAAGCTCATTTTGAAGATGATGCAATTCCCTATAATCCATATTCATCTCCCAAGTTCAAAATATGCACTCACAAGAGGTTATGAATTTGGACATTATAGGTCATTTTGAAAAGTCAACAAAAACACCTTTTTTGTCAAAGCTTCATACGAGAGCATGGAATATCAAATTGAGATAAGACCAAAAGGTTTGATTAGAGGACATCTCAAGCTTTCTAAAATCTCCAAGAACACCTCCAAATAGTCAAAATTGAGGAAGTTATGCATTGGTGAAGTTGACCCTTTTTGCAAAATTACCAAAAGTCAACTATCCCTAAAACTTCAATTTTTGCCAAATGGGCCCAATCTTTTTCACTTGTTTTAAGTTGGCAACATAGTCCACGAGCTCTAGCCCCTGCCACTTGTCCTTATCATGTTTTTCTTATTTATTTTGATTTTTATTTGAATTAATTCAATTTAAATCAAAACAAATCATATAAAATCCAAAATATTGAAAACAAAAGATTTTGTGCTTGTTTCAGGTTTCAATTACAGCTAACATCAAATCAAACTCGTGCAAGGCATTAGGGTGGACAAAAAGATTGAAATATACTATTTTTGGAATAATATTCAAAGTGTATCAAATCACAATGAAATTCAATAATGGAAGAAGATTGAGGCCAGGTTTTCAAACCTAATTCACTCCTCAATACATATAGAAGCAATGCAGACCAAAAACTAGGTTAGAAAGAGGCGCAACAAGGAGAACAAAAACTTGAAAAATCAAGAAAAAGTGTGAGCATGAATTCCTTTTTCTAGGCATCCTCAAGGCCTTCTAGTTGTCTCAATCACTTCCTGAGATCCCCAGCAAGCGAAAGCAATCAAGAGCAAGCATTTTCAAGCCTTATATCTCACTGTAAGTCAGTCACGATACCCAACTTTTATTGAATTCGAATTCCATGATTTAGGCATTGATAGCATGAACTAATGGTATATTCTTGATCCTTAAGACATATGCAAGCTTTCTGTATTGTTTAATTGCATTTATATGGCCTATATCGGATTCCACCATTGTTAGGGTTTGTAGCTTCAAATTGGGATCTTGGCGTGCAGGTAAATTTGGGCCACGATTAGGGTACCATGAAGTTCGTGAGACTCAGACAAATGGATTGGTACCATCACCATTGATTTATTGTGCTTGTACGTGATTTTTGACATGGCCAGGGTTTTAGCTATGGAGAACGTCCGTTGGTATAGGTCTGTTGTCTAAAACAACAGATCCTTGGAAAAGATGAAGAACTGGCGGCCAACCATTCGCGCATTTGAATTTTCACGCGTTTTGAATTCAGTGCTTTGCTTTTTTATATATTATCATTATTATGTATTATATGTACAAACAAGAACAGGTGGTGCAGTGGTAGTGAGGGCGTGGATATTGCTTCAGGACATGGGTTCGAATCCCAGGTCCCCCAAATATTTCATGTATTTTTTCTTTTTAGATTCATATGTGCACCAAGAACCAAGGTCCATCATGAGACCTCACAATCCAGCGTGCCAAGTGTCCTGAGGCCAGATCCAAGGGCCATCATTGGAGGAACACCAAAGGCAAGGTCAAAGCAATCACACTGGATCCGGGAAGTTAACGTGGACTACTTGATTTTGGGCCCAGATCTGGCTATTTGCACCCCTCCAAATACTTTTCAGGCCCAATCTCTTTCTCTACTTTTTTTTAATTATATTTATTTCATTTAATTTAATTTACTTATTTACTAACCAATCAAATTATTTTCTTTTTATAAAAAAAATCACAAAAATATTACTTTTCATAAATTAGGTCTAGATTTTATTTTTATTAAAAAAATTAATTAATTAAATTAGGTTTGTTAATTTAGAAAACTCTAATTATTTTGTAAATAAATTAAAAATAATTAGAATAATTAGGTTTTTTATTCCAAATTTAATTTTTCTTTCTTTTCTTAAAAATAACAAAAAAACCAAAAATAGGCTATGTAATTATTTTTTATTAATCACTAATTAATTGTATATTTAATTTAAAAACCTAAATTCTTTTCTTTAAAAAATATTAAAAAACAACAAAAAACATTTTCTCTTTTCATTAGGATAGAAGGGCCCGATCTTATTTTTTCTCGCGCACTTTATTTTTATTATTTATCATATTGATGTAACTGTCTACAGTTTGTAATAGTTTAATTATGACGTTTATTTATATTTACTGCTTTACTTTTCAAGGGTTTGTTTTTGGCTATGTAAATACCCGAAGCCTTGTAATAGCTTAGTTTAAATTCCACATTTTAAATTCTGCAAATACTAAACTGTTAGATGTATGATATAGGATGCATGACAAGAATGTATGAATAATTTTAAAACAGTTAGATAACCCTAAAATGTGCAAAGATAAATAATCTGAAATTGAATCA